GTCTCCCTAATCGCAGTTAAGAAACAATTGTTGCCCTGCGGCCATTAAATTCAATAAAAACATTTAGGTGTGAAATTCGGTCCCGAAAGTTGCCAAAGAGGTCCACTAGGATCAGATTTTGCAATTGAGTTTATGGTTGCATAGACTACTCTTTCCAAATGGTGATCGAGGTTTCCTCGAAAACTCGTGTTTTCCGAGTTCAGTTCCCAATATTTTCATTTCATTGCAAATAAAGTATGCCATATATTTGGAAAAAACTCCATAAATGCTTTACACAATTCTGTCACAACTGTTTTGTTTTTTTGAGAAAAAAATCTTTTTCGCGATCACATTAGCATGAACTGAAAGTAATGGGATACAGAAGAACAATTTTCCAAATAAGAGAACCGGTGGTGGAGTAAGTAAAACGTTACAATCCTACAGAAATTTTTTTTTGGAGAAACAGACTCGGAAGAAGTGGGAGCCTTGATTTGGAGAGCTCCCTATTGTTTTTGTCTCACTCTTCCCACAAAGAAATTTTTGCCTTTCATTGAGCGTTTTGAATACGTTGAGCCAAGGCATAGAATAGACTCATTGTAAGAGGATCACCCTTTCATCGACAAAAATAAAAATTTTTTTTGCTCTGTTGTTTTTCTGGCTCTTACGTTTAGCAAAGAAGTCGTTACTTACTAATGTTGCTCAGACGACCCTGTCCTGATGGCACCCTTTCAGCTTTTTTTTCAGCGATTTTTGATGTTCAAGCCGAAAACGCCTATATGCAAACTCTCAAAACAAACCTTTGTTGGAACGCGAGCAGTGACAAGGAGACAAAGCAGGAGTCCAACCAAGATAGTGAGCACCGCTAGTAGCGAGCACTAACAAATGGTTGATTCACGATCGCTGAATTATATTAGGTTGTCCCGAAAGTTCGTTCGCACCATTTTCAAAAAATCATAACCTTCTTCCCTCACAATGATTTTGCGCAATTCAAATTTTGCCTGAAAGCGTAGTGCATGTAGTTTCCAAAATTCTCCTCGTGACTTTCCAGCATGTTCAGATTGCAAAGCAATCTTTCACGCGAACATCCGAAATTCGGAATTTTTGAGCAAAAATTTTAAAAATCTAGAAACCGCGCGATAAAATCCAGAAAAGCCATTGATATAATTTTTCTTATATTTGATTACTAACTGAGTTAAGTTTGTGCTGATCGAGCTTTCCTTTCAAAAGTTGTGATTTTTTGAAAAAAAAAATTCCGAAAAATCAACTTCTTAAGAATTCTTAGGAAAGTGATTTTTCGGAATTTTTTTTTCAAAAAATCACAACTTTTGAAAGAAAAGCTCGATCAGCACAAACTTAACTAATTTAGTAATCTGTCAGAGGGCGCGGATCACTGACCTACCGATCTTCAGTGGCGGGAAGAAAAGCCCGCGCTGACCCCTTCGGCAGGGTATAAATACCGGGAGTCAGGGGGAGGCCTCAGAGACCGCGCTGAAGAAGCGCTAGCGGGAGCTAACTCCGTCGAAGAGAGGCGGACCTCCCCCTTAGATAGAGAGTAGTAACTAGTAAGCCTGCCGAAGTGGTCAAGAGGGTAGAGCCCGTTGTTTCGTTGTTAAGCCTTGTTCACGTTACGCATTGTTGTTTCTTGTTGTTCGTTGCCGTTTTTCTGAGATAAACTATCAGTCGTTCCATCCGTGTTGTCTATCGATCCGGTTAAAACCGTTATACCACTAGACACCCCCGGTTACATGGGGGCCGAGCCGACCTGGATCGATTGAAATACACACGGGGCGACTGATATAGACTGTCTCAGAGGCAAGACAGCATAGAACGCGTAGACCAGGCCAAGAAGGCGAAACCAAAAGACCAAAAAGGTGGGAAATCTACACGTTATCAAGTAGGTGACGTACGTAACAGGCAAAGAAGGCCAGATCTAAGATCAACTGGAAGAAAGTCTCTATCATATCATACAGAGCAGGCAGTTAAGGTATAAGGGAGAAGTGATTATTGATCAAATCATCCACGCTTAATAGAGGTGCGGGTATCGATTGTGATTGACTCTCTTCGGTCAGCTGAGACGCGCGATTTTGCGTGCGGCGTTGATTACCGATGAGTGTAAAGGCAAGGCGAAGCATTTCGCTGCCGAGTACATTTGTGTTCATGGATATGGATCAGAAGCAAAGATGTGCAGATGATATCCATGAGAGAAAAGCACACTTGATGATGGAGGAGATAAGCCTCATCAGAAAAGAAGTGGAAATGCTACCTGGGATGGTAAGCAAGATCCTTAGCCGATGTAGGATACCGGCTGATGGATTGCCGCTTGAAGAAGAGTTGGAGGCTAAGGTAGCCACAGTGTTAGGTAGGCTGGAGAACCTAACAACCGAGTTAAACCAGATACTCGGTCCCAGAGCAACGGCAGTTACAGTGAGGGAAGGCAGTGTGTTGAGAGGGTCGGATGTCGGACCACTCGACAATCATGGAGGTGTGGAGGATCAGTTGCTTAGCTATTTTCAAAGCATGACTTTTCCTGATCCTGGAGTCTTTAAGGGCTGTGATGATGAGGACTTTGACAGATTCATTCGGAAGTTCAAAAGTAAGTATGGTACCATTGCCCAGGATGAACAGTTGCTGATAGAGGTCCTGGGTGATGAACACTTGCAAGGACGAGCAAGGTCCTTATTTCTGAGCATACCCATGGGGGTAAGACAGCAAGGCTTTGACAGAGTAGTGAGGGAGATGGCTTCACTACTGGCCTGTGACTCCACAGCAGCTAGGTTAAAGGCGCTGACAGCTTTAAGGAACATGCGCTTAAGGCCAGGCCAAGAGATTGCAGACTTCTGTGTCGCCCTCGAGAACCTAGCAAGGAAGGCCAATCCTCAGTGTACCATTGCGAAAAGATCGATGGAGTACGCACAGATTCTGCTGGAGAATCTGACATCATGGCCTGAATACGTACAGCTGGTGGGAACACTACACCAGGTGGACCAGCTGAGGCATATAATAAGATAAAAGAAATCGCGATTGAGATCGAGCAGTCGCGAAGATTTTGCAAATTTGAGAGGAGGAGTGAACAGCAAACTCCGTCCCGTAGGAAAGAAAGTGAAAAGGAAGGGTACCTAGCTATGACGCAAAGTCGAAGCAGCTCAGCGGAAAGAGGCGAAAGAGAAGATTGTATGAGAAGGCATGAGCCAACGAGTAGCTCGAGTGCCTATGATGAGGATCAGGAAGAGAAATGGTGCTTCAATTGTGGTCATTTCGGACATGTGATAGGAGATTGCAAGTACAGGAAGAGGGAGAATGAAAGCGCTATCAAGACTTTGAATGGAGTGACATCAATGGTAAGGAGAAGTCGGAACATGGTCGTAAAGAGCTCCCAATCCGACGCATATGGAATTGTTGGCAGGACAACATTGACTCAAGCGAGAATGTTGGGAAGAAAGGTCTCGACACTTCTAGACACGGGCTCAATGATAAGTATACTACCCGTGAAAGTGCTTATGCTTAGCGAGGAACAATGGGTACGATGTCGAGTCACTCAAGACTTTCGACATTGTGGAAGGAAGCATATACGATGCATCGAACCGTGCGATGAGCTTTCTCGGAGGTGTAAAAGTAGAAATTGAATTAGAAAGTAGATGCAAGAAGGAAGTGGCTTTTCATGTTTCGGACGATAGGAATGAGGAAGTGCACTACGCTTTCAGGCAAAATTTGAATTGCGCAAAATCATTGTGAGGGAAGAAGGCTATGATTTTTTGAAAATGGTGCGAACGAACTATCGGGACAACCTAATATTAGGATGGTTCATAATTAATGCACGTTTTCTCAACTTCAACTTCTAATGAAGAAAATTCTTTTCCGAAACAATCTTTCTGCTTGCATCAAAAACTGTTGTAAACAGCAAACTTTGAGTTATACAATATAAACTTTTATATGATTGTACTCATCAAGGGAAAGATTTTCCGGCGCAAAATTTATCGAGAATTTTTTCTGGAAAGCTCTAGTTTGGAATAGCATAACTTACTCTCAAAAGAACTAGAATGGAGGAAACTTTGCTCATTGTGTAGCCGATGGTCGATTCGTAGCGTGCAACTTGGCTTTTACCAAAAATTTTCTGCGAAAAAAATATTGCCATGGAAGCAAAAGTACCATTTTCTCCTGCATTTTAAAGAGGACAAAAAACTGTATTTTTCAGATTCTTCCAATTTTTTTCTCATTTGAAAAACGAGGATTTGTCGTTTTTCTATCATTAGTAGTGCTTGGTCTACTCTACCAGAACCAGGTGAAAGTTCTGTAATCGCTTCTCACATAAGCATTTTGTAGAACTCCGAGTGATCCCAGCATTCAGCTAAATATGGACCAGAGCTTCTCGGCTCAAGACTTTTAAAAAATTCAGCCTTGGCGAGCATTTTGTAGCATAAATCTTCGCGATTATAACACTTATTTTTTGAAACAAATTTGAGCATTTTTCATGGATTTAGGGCAAGTCGAATGAGAGAAAAAAATTTCAAGTTTGAGATCTTCACATTTAAAGGTACGGAACTTGCACGGTCTGAACAAATGCTAGTTTTCGGTCTGAACAAAGATTTCCGAAAACAGAAGTGCACGTCAGAAAATTGAAGAAACGAGCTTTCCGATAGTTTAGATAGTTTTAGGGAAAAACGATTTTTGATTGAAAACTAGCGTTTGAAAGAAAAAGGTTGGAAAAACGTGCATTAATTATGAACCAACCTAATATTTTATTGCTAATGTCATGTTTATTTCTTTTGCGCTTCTCACAATAAGCGAAATTTTGCAAAGAAAGTTGACCGCTACTATACTTTAGTCCAAAAATTCTCAATTTGAATAAAACATTGGAATACATACATTCCCTTTTAGAATCGAACTCTAAATTTTTAGAATTACGATTAAGATTCTAGAACTTGAATTCTCCATTTAAGAATTCTAGGCCTAAAAATTTGGATGAACAGAATTCAAAAACACGCACATGAATGCACAAAGTTTATCATGTATGCTTATGAAAAGGAGGATTAGTGAGCTGTAGAGTGGTTAGTAAGTCAAGATTTGGTGTGAGTTCCTTTTTTAAGAATATTGTTCATAGTTTCGACATGTTTCAATTCAGCAGCTAGGTCCGCTTGTCGACCTTGGATGTCAGAGAGTAAATTTCTGGTCTGAAAGTTCTTCATTGTTCACGTCCAAGCCAAATAGGCATTATGGCTCACGTTTTTCAATTCTAATTCTAATCGTTCCACATAATTACACAACGGTGACATTATTAGTAAAATAGCTGCGCGGTTGATTTTCTGAAATACGTAATTGATAGTTCAGTTTGTAAAATGGGCAAGCTTTTACCCCCTCGGAGATAGCTTTCAAGTGGGCGTCCACCTCCCTGTTCAGATATCGCTCTTCAGCTTCGCGTACAGCGCGAACATCGTCATCGACCTTGAATTTTGAGATTGGTTTCGATTTTTTTAATGAATAGAGCTGCTAAATTACCACCACAAAAGAAGAGTCCTTTCTCATGTCATTTATGAAGGACAGACCTTTCATTTGACGATCAGCTAAGTCTTAAAATGAAACTAGAACGCATCAAAGAAGAAAAGCTTTTGCCTGGTACCTCTCATCCGTTCTAGTGCATCCAGCTCTTTTTGATCATACTCAATAGCGGTGTCTGGTGATTCTGCTCGGAGTCTGTAAGGCATTGCATTATCTTCCAAAATCTTGAAAGCCTGGCAGATATCACGCGATTTTATCGCCTCGCGATTCTCTCAACAGGACAACTGTTACGAGTTCGTTGCACGCTGATCATCTTGCATTTGGATTGTGGTAGTTTTCCGGCACGACTAATCGCGACTAACTATCATAACCGAAATGCAAGGTGATCGGCATGCCATAGACTCGTAACAGTTGTCCTGTAAAGAGAATCGCGCGGCGATGAAATTGCGGTATGTATGCCCACCTCTTTTGCCTATCTTATGACTCACCTTGCAGAACTTCGACGGAAATTTCTTGGAGGCGGAGGATTTGCGGCGCGAACTGGGGCCATTGGAAATGCATTCATTGCTCCTCGTAAAATGGGAAATTCAGGCTCTTCAACACCGTCAGCAGCATTTCGGATGCGGCGCTGCATGTTTCAGTATATGGTTTTGAATCAAGGTCAGGGTATCAGTTAGTCCGAAAAAGGCAGTTTGCGGACACTGTGGTGAGTAACCAATCACCTATGCAACGAGTTATCAAATGAAGTACACCGGCGAGAAGGGAATGAGAGAATAGTTTGTTGTTCCAGAAAATGGTTCAAATATCATTTTAACTAGAAATACAACAGAAGTCATTTAGTCCAGTCCTATCAAAGCACAAAGAACGTCCTTGACCAAACTGTTCCTAATCCCTCCTTATATGATTCAAAGCTACACTTTCAAAATATCAAGATATATGTTAGTTACCCAAGCAGTAATAAATTGATCACATCAGAGATTCATTCACTAATTATTATCTTGACTACGATGTAGTGGCTGATCAGTTGAGATTCTAAACAGGATAATAAGTGTTTATGACATTAATTTTGGGACAGTCTTTTTCGGAAATTCGCTGAGTTATTGGAAGTGATTTCATTTAGCAAAAGATGGAGCCATCTTTTCTGATGATCGTAGCATGATTGAGTTGAGAGGTGATGGGAAAAGCTCTGAGTTGTGATTCACGATAGCATGTTGGCAACTGTTCACATTTCATGAGGCCTGATAACCCACTACTTACTAGTTTCTAGCCTTGTCTTCGCACGAATTAGAGCAAAGCAAAACAGTAGGTCATAAAAAATTGCCGACATTTGAGACTGCGCAATATTAGAGCGAATAGCCTCAGACGATAAGGCGATAAAGTGCGGTAATAATCAGAACTTGGAAAGCATCTGTGAAAGACAACTTGGGTAAAGTTCTCTGTATCCTTTCTGATAATTCGCTATCCATCTTGAAAAAGGGAATATACCAGTGAGGATTGTGGCAGGACATACGTTTTATAAAGTCTAGTCAAGAACGCAGAATTATCGCAGTGAATATTGCGCACGATTGGGAACGGGTTCGATAAGGATTTTTTGTAGTTGCTCCATAATGCTAGGAGGATTTTGATCTTTCATCCACCAGAATATTAAGACCTCGGTGGAGGAACAGTGTCTAAGTGGAACACCCTCACAAGCATGAGCTGGGCATCAACGGTTACCAAGTTGCATTACCTGGGATTTCAAGTACCGAAGCTGAGTTATCAAGTTGAAGATATTGCGTTTTGACCATTTTCCTAGTGCTCTCTACTTAGTACATCTAAACATTTTATTGACATAAACCCAAATTTGAACTTTTTATCAGACACTATCACTTAGCTTCATCCGATACATGTAAACAGAAGCAGAAGAGCTTCTGTCTGACAAAGGACATAAAAGTTCGGTGTGAACTGGTGCGAAGCAAGGATGACGCACTGACACTTTCAATAAGCCATTTCTCAACAATTCCTTGGAGAAAGAACAAACCTTCAAATATGCTAGTTCAAAGAAGAATTGACCCTTTGCTTGTCAGTAAATAAACAAAGAGATAAGTCAACAATGAGAAAGAATATTCCAAGAATTCCAAAATATCCGAAAGGTAATACTGTTTTTTACACGACCGGTTTCGGGGCCTAGGAATATTTCCTTGTATTTGCATTTCCTGTGTTTATTAATGGGACTAGATGCAAACAAATTTTCAGTTTTGTATGTTACTTGTGCCTGAGTGCCCGCAAAATTCTTTGGGTCATTTTGATGACCGTGGATCAACCTAGGCAGCTTGTGACAATGATTATTACTGAGTTGCCAATGACCATTGTCTGTACGAAAAAGCGTGTGTAATAGAAAGGCAAACATCGGCCTTATCTGAAAAGTACTGTTTATCAGTAGCTTTCGGCACTATTTGCGTTTCAAAAGCTCCGTTCCATCTTCGACATTCTCAAATGGATGTCATTGTGTTGCCATTGGCTCTCTTTCCTTTTTTGGACGTCTCCTCCAAACCTCAGTTTTGTTTCTTGTACTTAACTGCTGCATAAAACTTTAGAAACAGTTAACAAAGTGCATTCAGAATTGGCTTAAAATGTGAAAAGTTTGCTTAAAGTGAAGAATACTTCTACTATGGCGCTTCTATTTGGGAAAATCCAAATTCCAATTTTCTGTTGGACTAGGACGCACTGCGGGGCAGATCACATTCAATTCTCAAACCATTTTTACGCTCTGCCGAATTTCGAAACAAGGGTGGTAAAAAACGGTTGCCTGCATTTCTCGCTACTCAACCTGTAGAACTATCGAATCGAGAAAAATGAGTAATCAGCGAGCTGGAATGATAGTGTTTTCCAAATTCACTTTTGAATAACGCTGATAAGGAATTTGCAGAGCATGCGATTTTTACATATCGTAGCGTTGACGATTGTTTTTTGCAGCTTCGCTGATGCGTTGAAGATCAAGTGAGTTTCCACTTTGGAAATATGAATCAATGAATTTTGGAAAATAAATTGTTATAGGAAGTCTAAAAAAGAGCCGACCTACATACAAGTACCGCCTGAAGTAGAAGGTGGATCTCCACGTTATGTCAAGGCACCAAAGGTTCGTTTACTGACAAGAAAAGTTTTTTTTAGTTGAAGTGGCCATTCCATATGAGTCTCATATTGGAAGAGCACTGAAGGCTGGTTCGGAATCTATCTTTTTAATCTGCCAAGCGTTTTTCCTTGCCGATTTATGAGTGTTTTCAAAAGCCAAAAATGAACCCAGAATCTTGCCCTCTAATAGAGCAGTTTTGTGTATTAATGTGTTAAGCGAAGGCATTCATTCAATATGAGATGCTGTGATATTCATCACTGCATCATTCGGGTAAATTTGGACGATTTTGTTTTAGTTGAGCAGTCAAAATCACCCCTAAAGCATTTCTCAATCGGTATACAAAGAAGTTTGGCAGGTAATGGAGACACTTTAAACAAATAGAGATACTGTGACTAGAAAGACTTCCCTTGTAAGGTCGCTGACCAAATTACCTAACGCTACTCAACCTCTGCAGGTCCTTACCGAATACGATAAATGCAAAATGGAATGCAGACGGCAAAGGGATGCGGTGAATCGTAAAGATGTATCGAATATGGTTTAGTATCACTTCTTTAGCCAAAATGATCAAAATTTGAATGTTCAGAATATTGCCGCACTTAGAGAACAACTTGCCGCTTTGGAAGCTGAAGAAGCAGCAGCAGCAAAGGCAGCTGAGGGAAGTGTGCCTGGCGAGGTAGGTAATTGTCTCTGAGCTAAAATCCCTTTTTAAAAAGGGAGAAAGGGAGGAAAAGATGGACTGCTGTATTGTAAGGCTTCAAAATTCGTTCTATAGTCCTTGTGTGTTACTCCTGACGAACCGATTCACTTTGAGAGAATTTGCAAGTTTGAGCATGCAAAAATAATTATTCCTCCCCATGTATCTTCAGAAATGGCACAAAAAATGATTGATTGAGTTTTCAGCAGCCGGATAATCTGCAAGCTAAAGACGTGCATATTCTGCTGAACAGGGAAGCATGAGTATGCTCTCAACACATCTGTTGCTTAACTTTTCTGGGATAGAAAAGCCTCAGCACTTCTACACTGTAGCTCTTCTACAGTGCCATACTTATTGCTCATGATAAATTTTAAATAAAGGGATTTGCATACATTGCAGTTTTTGGTGTGCCTTGCTAATGAGACAGAAAAACGTATTTTTGCTACCGATTCCTTTGCTATTTTAGTACTCGACAGTTTACGTCGATATAAAAAGATCAATACCTGCCTGCTATTCCTATCATGTGAAAATAATGAAACATTTGATCAAACGAATTGTAAAACCGGAATTTTGAGTCTGCGTGATGAATCTCATTGCTAGTTGTAGAAAAATGCTCATAATTTGTCCGTTTTTTAATGATGTCGGCTGTTGAGGATGAAATCCTGCACACAACCGATAATTCTCACATCTCGCAAAAAGACCGAATTTTTACATATAAAATGCAGTCCATCGTAAAATTACCCAATAATTGCATTTCTCCCGTTCTTTGCTCCTTTTGCTTAGTCGTAACCGTACTTCTTGAACTAGCAGCGCAGGCACTATACAGCATGATTAACGGCTTTATCATTTGATTCAACTGGCTTGGCGGCTGGAAGGCGGGGCTCCGTGACCTAATTAAGACTGCGTAATGATCACAGAGCACGGACGGCAGAGACGCAGACTGCTTCATGGGAGCGAGAGGCCTTAACTAGGTCACAAATCCCCGCCTTCCAGCCGCCAAGCCTGTTGTATCATAGTTACAGGTGTTATGTTCGTAGTCATCTTTCCACAGTCGGTGAACGTATCAGATACACAAGTACTTAGAGTTTAGAGTCCATACGTTTTTTCCCTTCCGCATTTCTACCCTCTCCCTACTTTGAAGGACGAAGTCATCTGACTATGCATAACTACATGAAGAAAACGTTTCGGCAATTCAAGTAACTACCTTCTTACTGTTGGTGAAATCTGACTAAAGGGCTCCAAAGCTATAGCTCAAGCTGCACCTCAAATGAATCATTCAAAAGTTTCACTCCAAGCCTTGCAAGATTGACACGCTTTTGAAACGGCCGATGCCAGCAAGTACGGTGAGAAAGCAAGAGCTCAACTTACAAGGGCAGTCCAATTAGTCGAAGTGACCTTTCCAAATGAGTTTTATACCACTTTGAAAAGCATCAGGCGCTGATCTCAGATCTATTTCATTACCTGCCGAGCGCTTCTGCATGCCGAGCTATGAATATTTTCTTGGTGCGAGAAATGAACGCATAATTTGAGTGAAATAAAATTTTACGGTCTTTTCAACGCTCAAATAGAGCACTGTTAAATATGAGTGCTTTAAACAGAAGGTATTGTTCAGGTAAGGTGCTTTGATAATCAACATTGGACCATCGGAACAATTCTGACGAATTTTTTTTTGATTATTTCAATTTCTCTACTCAAAAAACGCTCATAACTCGACGTCCAGAGGCGCTCGGCAAATAACGAAGACAGATTTGAAATCAGCGTTTGATGCTCTTTATAGTCGTATCATTTTTATGTGAAAAGGCCATTTCGACCGAAAAGACCTCCCTTGTTGGATGTTTTGATTTGTGGCCATATTATTCATTCACATTAGCTTTCACTTAGATCGTGGCTTAATTAGAGCATCAAAATTTCCATATAAGAATCACAAAAGCTAAGATTCTGAATTCTGCCTTTATCTGAATTCGCCAGTAATGCTAACGAATCTTGGAAAGATTCGATCCTACTTTCTCCCTGCATCGCAGTTGCCTCTGTTCTAATTTATCGCCATTTCTAAAAAAGAAATTTTGTCGTAATCTTGAGACTTCAATGGTCTTCCCGGCCTTGAGCTTGGTTACATTTTTTACCTCGTTTTGATTGTAAATACCTATATCTTTTCACTGAGCACAGCTTCTCAACTTTTGCATGGAGTGCTAAGAATTGCAAATCGGAGCCTTGCTTTTGCGGCGCCCCATTTTGCCCTTGATGGTGGGTGATAGTTACCACTTTGATGCAGACAATCATAAGTGTATCGATAGTATAGGTAACGCAGATGTGATGTGAAGCAACTGGCCCGAAAACCCTTAAAGGGGAAGCGTGGAATTCATGCCTGATATGGATATGGCACCCATATGGCACATTACGCCAAAGCTCCCTTTCCTATATCGTGAAGGATACTTTCAACTGCCCTATGAAAAAAATTTATCGTGTACTTTACTACAACATGTGCGCATAAAGTAACTGTGGTCTCATTCAGCTTTTAATGGCAGGATGACTTCACCAGATTGAGCACCAGCTTTGAAAGGAGCCATGGGATCCGTCTCATCCGCCGGAACCTGAATCAAAGATCCCGATTGCAACAAAAAAGCCAGGGAAGATGATGTCAACCTCTGCCCATTGAATAACTAATTTATCTTCTTTGGGAGGACCAGTCAAGCGAACAATCTCCAGGGTTGTGGTTGCCTAAAGTCGAAGTTTTGGTTTGTCTCAAACCTGAGAAGCACGCGTAAGCGAAAGGCCATTTATGGTAGACTTGCCTTTGCTTCTACAAATCCGTAAACGGGACGCACACGATAATGGTCATTATTTGAGGATTTCACCTGAACTTCTAGCTATTTATTGAGTAACTAGCTGGCATTTACCTCAAAGAGCAGTTGACCAGGTCTCTGACCTTAAAAGCAAGTCTAGTGTCGACAAGCGAGATAATGTTGTGTGTGGCGTTACCGCCAGTGGCAGGAAAATTGCCAACGCAGGGTTCGACGTTGAGTGACATAGTTGACGATACACGTTGGAAGCAGAGTATAAGATCAAATGATCCTTCCCGAGTAACGAACTTGCATGTTGACTAGTTGCCATTGTTTTTATCGAAATTAGTAAACACAAGTAAGTCTCATTTGCTTATCCAAGAGGTTCGGATAGAACGCAAAAGTGTCTAGAAACATGAATTTAGGGAAGAATTTTCACAAAGGTTGTACGTTAATACGTACAACGCACATGCAAAATTTTACTACCTTTAATATTATATCGAATCGATTTAAAGTCGCCGTTCTTTCCTGAAGTGGATAATAGTTAACATCAGTTTCTTCTCATCGCAGGCGTGAAAAAAGTTACCGAACTCCATCGAAGCTTACCGCGTCAAATCGTTCATATCCTTGTTCGGAGTAAACGAATTATGACAAATGTTAGCGTTTGACTCGGCCTACAGACCGCATCTTTTGAAATGTTGAAGTGACCGTTTCGATACGGTAGGTGCACGGTAGAGATCAAATTTTCACGAACCGTCTAGATCTTGCTTGTGGTAGATGACACAGTGTGCTCATTGCACACTGAGTAACCTACAGTAGGCAAAGATTTATGGAATCTGACCATTACCTTGTCCGAACCGTCACTTCTATTCATCAGAAGATGCTTCTTGATTAGTCAAATATGTCCACTTTTGATAGAAAATGGCGATGCGACGCGGATTTTGGTGAACTCTGGTGGACTTCTGCAATTTCCTTGACAAATAATGTGCGGTACTGGAGCTTCTAAGTCTTTTTTTTCTATTGGAAACAAAATGATCTCAGCAGTAGATAGGAATTGCAAGGCAATATTGCGGGCAGTGGGAAAAAAGACAGTTTTCTTCTCATCGTGAGTACGGAGACACTAGCAAACGAAGGTCACCAGAATTCGTATGCTGAATGAATTGACTTGGAGGGTTTGCAGTCATTCGCACTTATATCTGTAACTCGCACTTTTATATGGGATCAGGTCATTATTTTTTAAGAATTCGCGGCTGATAGAAGCCAGCACTGGTCGGGGCAGGAGCCACAGTGGGAAATTGTTTTTCAAGACGCGGTTAGCTTTCAGCTGGACTGACAATGCTTCAACTTCTTGCCTCCCCACGCATCCTTTTCAACGCAATGAACATGTCGAATCTTTCTATTAGGTTGCCCCCAAAAAATAACTTCATTTTTAGATAAATTGATCTGTTTTTGATTCGCTAATAGACTTAGGGCAACGTTCGATAGAACGAAGGAAGCTTTACAAAAAACCAACCCACCTACATAAGTCGTAATCCAGGTGAAATTTTGAGTTAAAAATCAAAATTTCAGCTATCCTAAAAATCGGAATCCTTCCAAAAAATTCCTACGGACCTTCATTTGGTCTTTATATAATATACAACATAGCAGCATCCAAAAATGTATCTGGTGGATTTTTTTTTCGGGGCTCAAATTGAGAAATAAAGATGCCCAAAATGCCAAAATGCCACTTTTTTCAGGTTCTTCATGCAAAATTTGGTATTTCCCAATTTAAAAGCACATACAGGGGTGAAATAATGAAAAATTTTACTTAGTAGGGCTTGATGAGTACAATGACGGATGGGCCCTGTCGCTTCTTATATGCGAAAGAATCCATTAAAGGCATATTTTAGTGCCGCTACATGTCTACTGTACAATGGACAAGAGGTTCGTAGAATTTATTCTCGTAAAAATTCAGTGTTCGGGAGACAAATTTTTTTTTCGATTTTGGCTTCAAACTTTACATGGAATGCGACTTAGGCGGATTCTTGGTAGTCATTTTGTGGAGTTTGATCTGGTCTATCGAAAAATACCCTAAGTCTACTAGAAAATCAAATACAGCGTGAATTATTTAAAAAGGAGTTTACATATTTGGGACAGTCTAGTACTTCTCGATGGATCATCAGCTGGATTTCGCTATCATCCAAATGTACATCCACTAGGGTAAATATGTATATTCGACTGTAACAGACCTTACGTCCACAAGAATTTCAAAGAAGAACTTTTTCTCACCACAGTATGATTCTTATGGTCCAGTTTAGCTTATATTTGTACGGCTTTTAGGCTGCTATTTTGGCTATTTTGACAGCAGCATGAAGCATGAAATGCGAATCTGCTGTCGAGGATCGCTGCATACTCATGAGAGTCACTGCTCCTCGCAATCATTCGCAAATGTTCCACAGATCAGCGCCTTGCAACATCAGGCGCATCAGGCGTAAACAGCGGTGTTTATTGCTCCTTCGCGAAGGTTCCGCGTGGGAACGGGTGTTCGCTGCATTTTGCTTTGTTACAATATTAACTAGTGACCTGAAAAATGCAAATTTAGAGTATGTCTTCGACTTTAGGCATACTACAAATGACGAGGAATCATTCTTTGTTTTTCTTCGTGTTTCCTTAATTTTTTACGCTGAAGTTTGAAATTATTAAGGTTGGGTCCCTGCAGCTAGTGACTGGAAACATGCAAAACTCATGTCCCTTCAGATAGAAGACATGTGTGCAGTCAAGAGCCTTAAACTTGACAAATATGCTTAGTATTCCATCCGATTTTTAATTGTATTGATCGGTTTTTTTACACATCCTTCACATTCTTCTGGATTTTTTTTGCTCTAAACAAAAATGGCAAAAATTTTACAGGTGATATTAGACCTGAACTTGCTTCCGTTAAAGCAAACTCTGCTGCATTAGCTCACTCATATTATAACAGCTGGAAATTTTGAACACTGTTTCTGATACGGATGTACTTCAGGGTAGAAAGCTGTAAACAAACTCACCTTATGAGGACCGTCAGTACAATAACAATGAGACCGGCGCAAAAATCAGCAAAGATCTCATCGCTCAATTATGTAGGATTTCCGATGCTGAAAACATTTAAGCTCATCTTTAACGGCTATGGAACTTTTTCTGCATGAAGCTCAGAAAGTTCGATTTACAGCTACGCAAATAAATGATGGGAGCATCTATTAAGTGTTCGCAAAGCTTGTAAGCTTGACTGTAATTCGATCGTGATTTTTTTTGAGTATAGTAACCGAATGACTAGGTTATATCACCCCAGATTGAAATTGCCTCTATGCTCTCAGTGTGGGTCAAGCCTTTTCACGATCAGCGTAGTTTCGCTCACAATCTCAAGCAAAACGTTAGGTGAAATAGAATGATATCAAAACTTTTAGAAGTACATGGTATTTCCATCTCATATGTATGGCCAAGTGATTACGGTGTAACAAAAACCTACTCTGTCTACCGTGGTTTCTAAAGCAAAAGCATGAGTACCGCTATGGATGAGAGGGGTGTGAACATTCGTGTGCTAAAACGACTTCCTACGAAAATTTGCCATTCTATTATATAAGCGCTGCTTCAAATTTTCAATCGATATACATGATTCCGACAAGTGGAAAAAGAGCCGAAGTCGGGTCTTGTGTGCATGGACATCCTATGGTGTAGATGGAGGCAGTTTCCACCTTTTATTCCTGCCGAGTACATTAATTGCATACGTTTCATTTCACTCAGAACATGATCTGTGTAAAAATCAAGGACCTCTATTTTATTCTGCAAAACTTGGGCAGCAAAACAAACATTACGAGTCTTACACTTCGAAAAATGATTCTTCATACTGCTCAAATATGCTGTCTTGATACTTTGTAATAATCATGATTTATTGATTATCCAAATATTTACAAGCATATATATATATATATGAACACAAATTTATACACGCATGATGACCAACAGTATGAGATGAGGTATAAACAACATCAGATAAAAAGGTAACATAAATCTAATAAAAAATCACTGTCGAATCTTTTCGTTTTCATTCTCAATCGCCTTGTGAATCTCGATTCTCCTCGAGTTCGGAGCTCCACTGGTGAATTTAGGTGCTTCCACAGCAAGACGGCCATCTTGAGTGATAGTGGAACTAATATGTTCTACATCAATGTCTTCAGGAAGCGTCCATTGTCGAGCAAATGATCTGTAATGATATTTTTCCGATATTTTGAGGTTCAGTAAAGAAGAATGCAATCAAAGGTTCAATGAACCCACCTGTAGCAGTATCCTTTAACCAACTCAGTCTCTTTATCAATGCACGCAATTCGATTAGTACCATCTTTTTGTAGAGAAGTAATAACTTTGGAAGAGTATAGCTCATTTCAACCAGACAACAACAGCCAGCGTTGCTGCTGATTGACAAATTGTATTTTTTCATACATGTAATTCTGGAGAAGGAAACAATTATATGTGCTCGTAAATTTTTCCAGGCCCTATTTTCGGCTTATGCCAAGCTGCTGCAATTAGACAAAATTTTAGCGTCTGGGTAAAACCGAACATAAGCAGATCTACCTGTTAGTGAAACTTCTTCTTTCTGCTCTTTGATTTGACGAAACATACATCTACATCAAACAGGCACAATGAAAACAGCTGTTTGGTCTTCCTATTCAAGTAAAGATTTGGGGTTCCCTTTCAAAATCTGTTTGCTGTCAAACTCTGTCAAGCAAGTCATATTCACAGCAGACAATTATTATTTGTTGAGTCGATGACTAGTTTAGAGCAGACAATTATTATTTGTTAAAGAGGCGATGACTATCGCACAAATGAACTAGGTTAACGAAACACCTACGCCAAAAATTTTAGATAAATCCGCTCTTTCGAAAGCTTGATTTTTCAAGTCACGTTACAGAAAACGAAGATGAAACTTTCTGTGCCTCATTTGAAAGTTCTTGGAGAGCTTAAATCCCTACAAGTTGTTGACCAGTCATACTTATTTTGAGCAATTTCGGCTTATATGTATCTTCTCCCTCGCTATTCAACAGTTTCGTACCATGAGGCCCGTACGTGTCAAGGAACATTACTCGAAGATCTCTGAAAGCTTTTGATGTACAAGTAGCCCATATACTTCCCGCTTTGGGAACTACAATAAAGCTCACAAACTGTCAGAAAAGTCACCGAGCTTCCCGGAGTTTACCGAAATCCTCGCCGCGTGCCGTATCTCGGTCCGCGATGA